TCGAGCGCGGAGCCCGTGCACGTGTAGGAGGAACAGGCGTGACCAAGGAGCACGTGTAGGGAGTGACCAAGGAGCACGTGTAGGGAGGAGCCGGAGACAGGGCCGTCTCTGGAGGCGTCCGAGCATTAACATGACTGTTCGGGGGTTCAGAAAATCGTTTGGAGAGCAAACATGGAGAAAACAGCTCGGAGAAACATCATGTCGATATACGGAGATTGGAGAATATTTAGAAGAATATTAAAGTTGTGATTTAGCTTTAGACAGAACGTCTGGTCGGCGGCGTATGGCGTTATCTGGTCAGCGTTAGGCAGATCAGATACGGAGAGATCGTTGTCGTAGCCGCATTCAATCTGGTCGGAGAAGCGATGCTTCATGGCACTTTGGGGTGATTGAGCGGAGTAGTCGCGCGTCGTAGAGGCGTAGTAGGTCGGATCACATTGGCCGTGCAAAATTTGGAGCCTACAAACATGCGGAGTCGTGACGTAGCCTGATGGAGTCCACTGCGTGGGGAGATATTTGCATGCTTATTGGTAGATGCATCCGGGCATGCACACGTTGCAAGCGCCGTAGCAATCTGTAGTTTACTTTCATGTAGATGTACACGTATGCCTTCCTTATTTGCTTGCATGCATGAAGATTTGCTTCCATGGAGATCAATACTGCACGTTGTGTCCGATCAAAGTCCGTGGATGCGGCTTCCGACACCGAACCGCAGCAGTCAACTGTGGATTGTCGAAGAGTCAACGATGAAGGTTGTCGCAAAACAGCGGTAAGTCAGAGACGCGTGCCGACGACGTGCCGACGGCGCGGGATGACGACATCGAAAGGTGTAGCCGAATTGCTGCCAGCAACATTCACACGGACATATGTAGATATACCCGGAGATATACATGTATCGTAGGATATTTTAATCGAAAGTAAATCACTTAGCTTTTCATGTATGACATCCAGGTGCTTGGATTGATGATACGAAAGGAGTTGGATCAATTAGATGCAACTCCGTACGTATATGTCCGTGGATCCAAATGCCCTCGTGACGCGACGGCGGTGCTAGATGCAAGTTCGGTGATATTTACTCTTGTGCAGATACGTCTTGACCTTGCTGTCCGATCAAGATCTGTCGGCCTTCCAGCACATGCCGAAAGCACAGGGCCGCCGCCACGCGCCCAAAGCGTTGCTGCGAGTTGCGTTTGGGCACCGGGCTTGATCGTCGTAGGTTGACGAAGGACGCTGCTGCCGCCGCCACGAGAAGCTGAGTTGCCACGGATGGCGCTGATCTTGAGATCCCATCTGGCCCGCCATGGATTAAGCGTACACCTCTACCTGGCGCGCCAACCGTCGATAAAAGATGCTCGGCAGTCCACTGAGGGATATCCCACGATGGTAGATTTGTCGGTGGGGATACGCGTAATCAGGAACAGGATGGTGACACAAGGCGCAGAGACAGCGATTTAGACAGGTTCGGACCGTCTGATCGACGTAATACCCTACATTCTGTGTCTTTGGTGTATTATATTGATCTGTAGTAGATAGATCTTGATGAATCTCTGTTCACTAGGGGACCCCTGTCTCTCCTTATATACTCTGGAGGGGCAGGGTTACAAGTAAAGTAGCCTATTTGGTACTATACAATATCTTGCGGTGCACGTCGAGCAGCGCCATGCACGTCTTGATCTCGTGGGCCGGACCATCTCTGATGGTGCGGCCCATGTCTTGTCTTGTGGATACCGGGGGCCATACCCCCACAATCACATATAACTTATAACCAATATTTAGAAACACAAAAAGTTATAAAACATAACTTATCTACAAAAAAGTTATCAAACGCAACTTATGTATATAAGTTATTTTATACAACCTATGTACGTAAGTTATTCTATGCAACTTAGATGTACAAATTAATATCAAACATATTAGCAGATCTGTTGGTAGCATGTATAAAAGGAAAATTGATAGACTAATATAAAAATTAAAAAGTAAAAAAAGCGAAAAATTGTGTTTCATAACTTTTGTATTTTCAAGTTTTAGCATAAGTTATAAGTTATACGGTATAAGTTAATGTTATAAGTTATACGGTATAAGTTTTGTTGTGTAAAATGTTATATTGTCCAAGTTATTAATAAGTTATGTAACGTAACGTATATGTATAACTTATATTTTAAGTTATAACTTCTATGTTATAAGTTAATATAAGCCCTTGTTTAGTTGGGTGAATTTGGATTTTGGGTTACTGTAGCACGTTCGTTTTTATTTGGCAAATAGTGTTCAAACATGGACTAATTAGGCTCAAAACATTCGTCTCGCAATTTCCCACTAAACTGTACAATTAGTTTTTATTTTCGTCTACATTTAATGCTCCATGCACAGACCGCAAACATTCGATGTGACAGGTACTGTAGCAACTTTTTGGACTTTGGGGTCCAACTAAACCAGGCCTAAATAAAATGTTATTAGAAAAAAAAATTTCTCGAAACATATGAAAGTGGGATCTAGTTTTGTTCGTCTCGTCGCGTAGAACACGCTGGTACGGACGAAATTAAAAATTGGTACACCATTCAAAAGTTAAAGGATTTTAAAATAAATGGTTCGTTTTTTAAAAAATGGCGTGAGGCACTTGAAACCGTATGGAGCAGGTGCAGACGTCCCCCATACAGACCCGGTCAGGATCGTTCGCTGGCAAAAAAAAAAAAAAAAAAAAAAATCAGTGAACGATCGCCTGAATGGATCTGGGCGGCAATTGCCCCGTTGCCCGACGGTCCTTTGCGGCTAGCGGTGCGTGGTGCCAGACAGCGAGAGTCACGCGCCGTTACGACGGACAGGTGGGAGGACGGCAGCAGGTGGCTGGGCTGCCAACGTCAGGCGCTGTGTGCCGCTGAAAGTTGTCGTGCAGCCACCTGGGCTGTTCCCTTACCACGGCTTTGGCGGTTGACGGGCCGGCACGCATCGAATCGCAAGGCCTCGTCGTCCTCCTTTGCGTTGCCCGGCACGGTGAAGCTCGGCCCGGTCAGTCCAAGAAAATAAAGATGGTGCAAGTCAAATAAACATGACTTATGACATGTGAGATTATAGACGTACGTATCCTAGATTGGATATGAGTCTTACATCTTACCGTCTTACATGTAAGATCACGGATGACAGATGGCTCATATAGCACGACATGTAGATCGAACGGTTGTTATAGAGGAAGAGTAAGATCTCGCACGACGAATGACTCATATAGTACGATGTATAGATCGAACGGTTATTATAGAAAGAGCCCTATCAAAAAACTCGCTCTTTTATAGTGTGATGATGTGATAAACAAATATTTCTATTACTAAGTTGCCGTATATAATAGTGGAACTCTCGACAAGGCTAACATGTGAGACTCGATGACGATCAACTCCTTGCCAACTTCAATAAAATATTAAAATTACAAATTTTTATATATCCTCAAAAAAAAGCTACATAACTTCATATTTAGCTCTACTAAAAATAAATGGATATCTAACATTTGTCATCCTTTCTTCATAGTTGCTGTCCTCCTCATCATCTTCCTCTTCATCATCAACTGCATGTCCTTCAACATATATCTCTGCTACATCTTCTTCCTCAATGTTGTTTGCTATTTCAATGCAAGTCTGATCATCCATCAGAACACGTAGGCCATTAGAAAGCTGCCTTCCAGGACCAAGCCAGTGCAACAATGCTCCTTCTTCAACAGTGCAATGATCCTTAAGGTGCCCCATAACCTCAGGGAGAGAGACTTTATCACGGTCAATGTATGACACCCCCACTTCTCCTCCCAAGTAATACACATTATTTCCTATTTTCAAGAATTCTCCTCCATAATGAAACCGAATAGGAAGAGTATCCAGAGGGTCCATGGCGCATAAAATGTCCTACACTACATGCAACAGGAACAAAAAAACTTGACTACCACTCTGAATGGACAACATGTAGCCTAGTAACAATGGAAGTACACTGTACATTGCTGATCACAAAATATCACGCAAAATCACAAAAAATCTAAATATCAATTAGAGGCATTGCAAAATGAAGACCAAACCAATTCCTATCAAGTTAACATATCATACACAATGACTTAGTGCTACGAGTTGCCGAAGCAGAATATGAACGAGGAATTCCTAAGAACGATGACCATACCTGTTGAGCAGCAACGCGCACTTGGCCCAGAAGAAGAGGATGGCGACGAGGAGGAGCAAGGCGTTGGACAGGAGGGGAAGCTGTAGCCCGCGCGCTCGAAGACGAACCAGACCGCGGTGGCGCCCACAACGCCCGCCGCCGAGGCGTTCGTCTGCCTCCACAGCGGCAGGTCAGCGACTGGAACGGGTTCCCGTGCGAGGAATGTTAGGAGCTGTCGATCCACACCCGCACCAACACCCTCCGCCGTCGCCGTCGCCGTCGCCGTCACTGTCGCCATCGCCGCCATCGGGAGTTAGGGTTCGGGGTTGGGGAACGAACGGAAGAGAGTGAGAGGAGAGAGCGCAAGTAAGTGGGCTGCGAGAAAAGGAAAAAGGCCCAATAACACGGTCGTAGCGGGTTGACTGGGCGGAAACCGCCGGCGCGCCGGCGCGAGGGCCATTTCTATCTGGTTTACAAAGTTGATAGACTGCGGTTGTCTGGTTTTAGAGTTGGAGGGCTAAAAACAAACTGCTGCCATAGTTGGAGGGAAAAAAAACAGACTTTTTCCTACAAATAAAGTTGTCGTGGCCGTTGTAGCTGTGTCGCAAGCTGAAGTGACCGTATCAGACGTATGATAGTTTTTGTTCTCCCGTCGTCATTACGCACGGGCATGTTTCCTGGTCGCTTTATAAACGCATCTCCTTCCTCCGATTCAGCTTCGTCCGCCTCCTCAAATCAAATCGGGCTCCCGGACTGTTTCTCGCACCTCTCCCACACGGTCGTCAACAAGCCCTTCGCCGACGGAGACCCTTCAACCTTCATCTGGTGTCAGTGGGCGCACCCCTTGCCAAGAGATGTCATCCACCTCTGATCCAATGTCGCCATCCATGATTCTCCAGGTCGCCGCCGTCCTTCTTCCCCGTCTTCTCCAGGCCATCGTCTGCGCGTCCTCATTCGGCCGCCTTATGCATCTCATGTCGCAGCCCCAGGTCGACATGTATGCAGATTTGTGTTGGTTCCTTCTGTGTAGGCCTCCCTTCCTTGCAAGTTAAAAAGGAGCATGTGATTCCTTCTTTGTAGGCCGCCCTCCCAAATCGCTGCAAGTTAAAAAGGAGCTGTTGGTACGAATTGTCTTGCCATCGTGTTGACTGCAAAACAGGAGCACCTCAGGCTGCAATCAAGGAAACGGTATCAAGAAGCACCAGGTATTCGGCAGAGAGGAGAGTGGCCAGAGGGATGGGAAACGGGAAGAGATTTTGATCAGGCTTAGGTAATTAACAGATCGTTTCCCCTTCCTTTCTCATTATGTTGAGGGTTGTTTCATGTTGGGTAATTATTAGAATCTAAATCTCATCGGGTGTTTGGCTGTATAGTTACCTCTAACCTAGTGTTTGTTTAAGGACTTTTTAGGCCGAATTTTGATCAGGCTTAGGTAATTAACAGATCGTTTCCATAGAGTGCACATACTCTAAATTTGGTTTAATATTTTTTGGAGATTTTGAATTCTGAATTTGTGCTGCTTTAGAATAGTATAAGGGATCAGTATGCAGTGTAGATCAAGTCTGTTTTCAGACACTGTAGGCAGAAGATGAACATATGGCGTACTAGATCGTTTTTTGTTGTTTCAGTAATTTTCCATGGAATATTCAAACACTAATTTTGATTGAATGAATCAAGAGCTATGAATTTCTCAAGTCTGGCTGTTTACAGGTTAGCAGGAAACCACATGGTTACCTTGTGTCTAAGATTATAAATGGTAAACACCTAAATTAAATTCTGTGGTGAATTCCAAAGTTGTAGAGACTTTTATGAAGATGTTTCTGGTGTCCTCGATTGTTGCTTTCACTATTGAATAAAAATATCTACGAACTACATGGTTACATTGTTACTTGAAAACTGAAAAGGTAGGGGGAAATTGGCCAAATATTGATAGTTGACTTCTGACATCATGAGTTCTTCTGTTCTTCAGTTTTCTGACAAAATCATGAGTTGCTCTGTGGCTGATTTTTGTTATGTCTCAATTTTTTTATTCTAAAATAAATTGCTAAAAATAAAATAATTTTTTAGCACCTCATGTCCACAAACAGTGAGAGAAGTTTAGTCTAGAATGGGAAACATTAGTTTCGCAAGTAAATGCAATGCTATATCATCTTATTTGCTTACTATGCGTCTTGAGAGAAGGCCTTGCTATTTTGTACAAACATTAGACTCAGTGCAAGTCCATGTTTTATAACTATAAAAGACATACATAATTTTGATATATTGAATGACCTAAAATATCATTGTTACTTGTACCTTACTGTTCACCCTTGGTTTGTTTTAAATTATTCGACTGATTTTTATTGTGACTATCTATATAGTCTCTTGCTATTCACAACTAAAACTACATTATTTTTTCTATATGAAACACTGATTCAAGAGACTACAATAATGAAGATGAAGACGGTGGTGAGACTATAACCATGGTGATGAGAATTATGGAAACTATGATGATCAAGACTATGGCTCTAAAGGGCCTCATTGGACACTAATGATTTCGACCATGATTATGACCTTTGGTGATCAATAAAGGATATATAGTGCCCCTTTGCCCTCTAAACAATGTATCTTATGCCTAGTGAACAATGGTAACTTAGGCAAGTACTTTCGTTTGTACATTAGTCATAGGTACAGGAACCTTATTTGCTACTTTATCTCATAGTTGTCGAATTTGAATGAACTATGCAATATAATGTTTGTTGTGAAACAATACTAGAATGTTCAATGTGCGATATATAGTAAAGTAATTTCAATGATAATGTTTGCTGTCAAATTTCAATGATAATTATAATCGTCACAAACCCAATCGCCTATTGCGATATATAGTAAAGTAATTCCTTTTAAAATAAAGGGTTTCTTACTAGAGCCGACGAGTAGATAGGATCGATGGATAAGGCTAAGGTCAATAGTTACAAATGATGCTTATGTATATATATGGCCAATGGTTTATAGTCCCTGACAGTTAAGAAATATCTATCATTAAATCCATTCTCAACAGTTAAAACAAAACTATCAAAGAAAAATATTACTGATCGGGGTCCCATTGGCAAAGCATGCTGGACCCATAAAAAACCAGGACCATTGACCATCAACTTGCCAACAGTCCACTGTTGGCAACTTACCATAGGCCTATGACTTATCGACAGCCCGTTGGCAAATGGGGGAATCCCCGACCAAGAGTGGCCGACGAGAACTTGTCGACGGTATGTGCTCGGCTATGGTCTTTGCTGATGGTAGAAAGCAATGCCTGACAGTTTTAAAGTTGTTGGCCATTCTTACGATTCTAGTATAACAGGATTCACAAAATGAAGAAAATTGTAGGTCTTATCAGAAATATAAAATTTTGGACCACAATATAAATTTATAGGGTTAAGGTAAGTATTGGGTTCACCAAAAAAAAAAAAATCAAAATTCCCATTTAAATTTACCTAGTTTTTGTTTTTTTCCCCGCCCCTCCATCTACAACGGTAATTTCAAAATGGAGTGATCATGAGAGGGCCATGATGTATGCGTTTGCCTATAAGCCGGAACGAATCTAGTGCAATGTTCTTTTGTCACTCATGAATTGGAAGGTGAATATGTAAATGTTTTTTTAACACTTTAGTTGTAACATTATTTTGTGTTAGTATATGTTATATACTTGTCACACATTTTACATGTTCCGTTTATGTGTTACAATATAGTACCATTTTTGTAACATTTTACTTATAACATTAACTTTTGTGTGTACTGTAATCATTGCTAGTAACACATTTTTTAAAAAACGTGTTTTGTGTTACAAACTAGTCCGTAACACATTGTTTTGTGTTACTATGAATTTTTTTAAACACATTCATGAATATGTTGCAGCATCCCAGCTCTGCCTCCAAGAGGCTCCGCCAGTATGTGGCCATTCTCCGTTCACTGAGGGCCTGATGGGACCGGGAGAGAATGAAGGGCAGTTGATGTACTATGAGAGTAGTGTCAGTTGAACACCAATTGGTTTTGGCAATAATATAATGGGTTGGTGTCTTGGTGGAGACAAGTAGCGTGAAGGTTGGAGAGCAACCGGACATGCTACTCATCAGATAGGGAAGTAACTAGTGAACTGTACGGAAAATTGATCTTCAAACCTGTGGGAATGAAATGAATGACAACGCACACTAGCCACTCATAGCAATGGCATGATAATTCACAGCTACTGCATGTTGAATTGAAAATTCGGTAATCCTAGCGCCCGGACGTCCGGTGCGCGAGATGCGTAGGGACGTCGGGCCCTTCGTCCCGCGCCCTGCCCCCCCACTCCCGCGCACGGAACAGAATAGAAATCGGAACCCGCCCTTCCTCCGCTCCCCAACACGCTCCTGTCCCCCGTTCTGCAACGCACCCCGTTCTCCCACCGCGTCCCTGTCCCAAAAAAGCATGTAACACTTCAACTACAAACATTGCAAAAAATATGTGAAAAAACTATGTAGTGCAACATTGAAAAACATGCACTGTATCATCGAAAAAAATCTACTGCAACAACGAAAAATATGTACTGCAATATCGAAAAAATATATACTGTAGCATTGCAAAATATGTACTGCAACATCGAAAAACATGTACTGCAACATTGAAAATTATGTGTTGCAACATAAAAAATTATATACCGCAACATCTCAAGCAGTAGTACTGCAACATCGCAAAAACATATGTTGCAACGACCACTACCAGAATCCTCAAATTTGTCGAGTGTTTTTATGTTTACCGAGTGTATTTCCTCGGACACTCGTCAAACAAGCTCTTTGCCGAGTGCTCAGCTAAAAACACTCGGTAAAAAAAAAACACTCGGCAAAGAGGGGGTTTACCGAGTGTCAAAAAAAAAACTGTTCGCCTAAACGGTCGTTTAGCCCGTTTACACACCGTGTAAACGCTATACAGTGGTGCGCCGTTTCCGTTTAATCACCCATTTACCCTGTTTAATTGGTCGTTTAGCCTGTTTAATGGGACGTTTTGCCCGAATAATGGCTAAACGGTGGGCGACCGACTATTTACCGTTTAGCGTTTAGGAAAACATTAAAAAACACTCGGCAAAAATGAGGTTTGCCGAGTGTAAAAAAATACTCGGCAAAGAAAATAAAATCATTTATTTAGAAAAGAAGGAGAAGAAAAAAAATGAATTTTTTGCCGAGTGCTTAGATCTAGAACACTCGGCAAAGAAATAAAATCTTTTTTCTGGAAAAGAAAGAGAAAAAAAATGAAAAAAGACTTTACCGAGTGCTCAGATCTAGAACACTCGGCAAAGAAATAAATAATCTTTTTTCTGAGCAAACTTTGCCGAGTGCCTAGATCTAGGACACTCGGCAAACAAAGAAAAATCCCATCAAATACCCTCTCCTCCTCTCCCCTCCCATCCACAGATCCACCAGTAGCTCCTCCCTTTCCCCCTCTCCCCGGGCGTGCGCGAGCGCAGCTACGCCGCCACCGCTGGTTGCGCGGCCACCGCTACTGGAGTCCGCCCCCTCCTCGCCTTCCCTCTCTCCCCTCCCTAGATCCACCTCCGCGGGCTCACACGAGCGCTGATGTGTCGCCGCCACCACCGTCCGCGCGATCGCCGCTGGCGGCTGCCTCAACAGCACCGGATCCCGCCGCTGACTCCGCCGAGGTAGGCCCCGCGGGCCCCTGCTCGAACGCCGGCTGCCTGGCCAGCGAGCCCTCCATGGCCCCCTGCTCTGTCGGGGCCGGATGTCGGCGCCGCCATGGCCAGCGTCTCGCCAGATGCGCAGCAGGCGCCATCCACGGTGGGGACGGCCGGATCCAGCACGGGAAGCCCCCGTCCCCCATCATCGACGACTCGGGAGGTGCCCATGGAGGTCTCCTCGCTGCCGTCAACCGCGGCTGGGCCTGAGACGGTGAACTCGGTGCCCAGCTCGTCGCGGCGGCACCCTCCGTTGCTTTGTCCTCGCTCTCCCCCTCGCCTCGCCCTTCCAACCAGGCGGTGGTGGTGGCCCGTGCGGCTACCGATCATTGGAGCGGCCGGTGGTGGTGGGCGGCTGGTGGTGGCGGCCTGTGCTTGTTTTTTTCCTTAAAAAAATGTTTGCCTAGTGTTTTTTTGCACTCGACAAAGTGTTTGCCGAGTGCCCGACAAAAAACACTCGGCAAAGAATGTTTGCCGACAAAATCTTTGCCGGGTGTTGGTTGCCGAGTGCAACATTCGGCAAAGAGGTTGCCGAGTGCCCCTGACACTCGGCAAACCTCCCGTATCCCGTAGTGGACCAAAAAATACCATTGCAACATTTGAAAAATCATCTGTTGCAACATCCCAAAACACACATTGCATTGCAACACGGGAGGAGGAATAGGGACCCAGAGCTCGCCAGAACCCTAGCCACCGTCGCGTCCCTCAGATCGAGAGGAGGAGGAGGGCTTAGATCCAGAGGAGGAGTAGGAGGAGTTCTCAGATCCAGAGAAGGAGGAGGAGTGTAACGACCCGAGTTTGTTGCAACCTAGGCAAACATTTTGGTTTATCAAAAGGAGTTAGTCACCAACCATCGGTGAAGACTTGCACCGTGACGCAACAGTCGACATCGAGAACATCCATTCAATGACTTAGTCAATTCAGTGAAGACAGGGAATACCGAACCATCCGCCAGTACACCAGACCATCTAATAAGAGTTAGGACAGAACAGAGCTAAGTGAAAATTAAGCTATTTCTTATTTATGGACTTGGACCCACATGTCAGCACGAGTTGAGATACTTCACCAGCTGAAGGAGCACTCTCTCACTCACCCTCTCACCTATCCACTCATTTGCAAACACCCTCTCTCTCTACCTCTCAAGAACAAGGAAGAACCCTAGAACTAGAGAGAGAAAGGAATGAAGAGAAGATTGAAGGAGGAAAAGAGGAAGGAGAAGAGAAGCATCAGCACCTCCCCATGGATTCCATCCACCTCTTCAACATAGTCATGGTGAGCTCAAGAGAGTAGCTCCCATTTTGTGGATTTTCCCCAAAGTAGTTAATGTGTGGTTTTGATGGAGGTTGGAGATGATGGAAACTTGGATGGAAGAAGAGTTGGATCTTCAATCTTCTGGCTATGGAAGCTCTTGATCTCAGAGCCAAGGATCTCTATCTCAATCTTAAGGTTTATCTCTCATCTCATGAGTTTTGGTTTAATTCCTAAGCCTTGAGCCACACTTAGTGAAACTAGCTTATAACCCAGCCATAGTGAGCCTAGTAAGCCACCTAAACCACCATAGGAATATTTGGCACATGCAAGATGCACAACTCCACAAATCTAAACTTGAAGCCTAGGATTTCCTTGGAGCATAGGTTTTGTCGCCCGTGTGATGGACTGTTCGTCAAACCGACGGAGTATCCGTCAATCCATAGGAAACCACTAAGGAACCTTATCCATGTCAGCTTAGCGCAATGGAGCATCCATCACCCATGGTGGAGTATCCATTAAATTATATAGAGCAGTAACCTAGCAACCCGAGAACACCCAATTCATACCGGAGCATCCGTCGAT